AGACGAAATAATCGACTCCACTTTTTATAATTTGGTGCTGAGAGACTGAGTTGAACCGGGATATGAAGTTTGATGTTGGAGATGGTGGTGAAGGCAAGATGAGGAGAATTATTTGGAGAAGAGGTTTCGTTGTTGTTGGTGACTTTGCCAGATGAGGCGGAGTCGGCCATGGTTGCCGGGGGAAGAAGAATCCGACGAGGGAGGGGGTTGGGGGCTTGGCCGAAACTCAAGAAGGAGAAGGAGAAGGGAAGCCGTGAAAGATTAGGGCTCCGATACCATGAAGAATGAATATTTTCAATTGAATTCTTATGAGAGATTACATGTGTATATATACAAGAGTTTCCTAATGACAATAGGAAACAATAATTAATACACCCTATACAAATATGGTAGCTACAATAGACATTAATATTAAATATAGTAAGAATATATTTAACAAAATCCATTATCGGCATTTGATTATTTGAAACCACCATGCTCCAGCTTGAGGGGGGGGGGGGGGTATTGGACCTTAATGTTGTAGTCGTTGTTGTTGTTATTGATACAACAACAACATTACCCCAGTGCATCAAAGTATCCTGCCCATTGCAGGGTAAGGGGAACAGATGTACGTAACCCGACCCCTACGTATAAAACATAGATCCATGAGTGCCAAAAGTTTCATTGACTAATTGGTACTTCACTGCTTCACTATAAAAAAGACAATTTAAAGAGTCATTTTGGTTTATCCCATCATACCCCAAAGTCAAAAAACCGTGAATCTATAGCTCCACCAGAGATGATGGGACTCATTTCTATCATTGATATTCTTTCTTACTTTCTTTTTATTATACTCCGTAATTGTTAGAATTGTAGTAGGAAACATATTATAGAAGGGTTTGATGCCTTCCATAATTAGATCTCTTTTACCTATATACATATATAAAGAAAAAACACGGAATTGAAAGAGAATAGTGACCCTTGATGTGACCAAAAAGTAAAAGAGAATAGTGCTTGAAAAGTGGTGGGGTGGGTTGAAAGTGATAAAAGTAGAAAGAAAAAAAGGGTGATTTGATTTTGGGGGTGGAGTATTGATTTGATGTGATATAAAGTGATAGGTGGTGAAAAGAGAGTGTGATGGGTGTATTCCACCCAGGACCGGTCAAAGGAGGGGACTAAATAAGTTGACCGGTCAAGTCGACCAAACTGGAAAGGGAGACCTAAATCGCCAGTAAAAGGATGTTTGATCAAAAGCTTGACCGGTATACTTCAGATAGTATACCGGTCAAAGTGCATCATTACCTCATTCATTCTGATTTTCAATAAACTCATCCCTCAGGAACCACCCGGTATGGTTTCTAGGGTTGGAAAATGTCGGCAGAAGAGAATCTAAAAGGGCTTGGCGTGTAGCGACCCATGTCAGTGGAGGATCGCTGGAGATGCTGAAGGAATCTGTCCAAGCCAGTACGCGACAAGGGCACAATCTCCCTCGCAAGGCGACAAGGCAGCAAGAGGACGACGGCCATCACTTCCCACCCTCCGAGAACGCGCCTCCACGTGGGTGCACGTGGCCCTGTCCCCCTTTGCCTAGTATAAATACTGCTCTAACTCTCAGAAGTAGGGGTCGGAATTCATTCTCTCTAAACTCCCTTGTAAAAGCACCCGTGCATTCTCTGTTATAATATAAATTGGGCTACAGGTGTTCCACCCAAAGTCCTACCGGTCACTCTGCGTGTTTTTACCTTTCTTACTTTACCAAATCAAGCAAACTATTCTAGACCCGGTCTAGTATAGTTTGACCGGTCAAGTAATTTACACCATCAGAGTGTAAACTTTCTTTGGGGACATTCCGATAACTTTTGAGATATATACTCCCTCCCTCCCGCCCAAAAGAGATTGCCATGTTACGATATTGACATTTTGATCACTTTTGTTTACTCAAAAAATTACTATGAGGTGACATCAATTTTCTAGGTGACATCAATTTTCTCATAGAGTCTCCAAGGTCCTATTTTTCAGAACTCACCACAGGTCCATAAATCTATTTGTATAGACCTGGAAGGCACTTTCAGATACCCCTGGTTTCGATGCCTGCTTTTATGTTCCAGCAAGGCGAACACATAGAATGGATTTTCTTATAATAATTATAACCCATTGTTCCCTTAACAAAGAATAATACTCCCTCCGTCCCAAAAAGTCTTTCCTGTTTACTATTACGGCCTCTCGATAACTCCAATTTGTTTGCGTGTTTTCATTGATCATTTGATAAAATAAAATATTCTTGTCGCCTCTTATTTTGTAGAGTTTTCGATGTAGTTTTTAAATATAATTTTTTTATGTGTTATTTCCTTACCAATTTTCAAATAAAATCATTTTAAAATCTACGGGGTTTTGCACGTTAATCAAAACAGGAAATTCTTTCTGGGACAGAGGGAGTAAATATTAAGTGTATAGCCCAGAGTCTCTATTTCCCAGCATGGATTGACGTAGTTTTTTAATATGCATGTTGTATTTTCTATTTCTATACCAATTTTTAAATAAAATAAATTTAAAAGACACAGATTTTACTCGTATTTCCAAGATTGTAATCAATTATGGGACGGAGGGAGTGTGTGTGTGTGTGTCAGATAAATATGTAGAAAAGTAAAGGTGCAGATCCTTTTTGTAGTAGGAGATTTTTTTACCTGCATTGCCCCCTGTACATTTCCTGAGCTTCCACATATGCTAATCAAAATGGACCAGCTTATATGGTTAGGAGAAAGACCCGCGGTTTTCATCTCATCCATCAAAGCTTTAGCTCGATGGTAATCAGTGCCACATGCCTTCATCAAAGTGTTATAAGTTGATGTTGTGGGTATAAATTCAATAGAGAACAGTTCTAGACTTGATCCAGAGGTGCAGTTTTGTGAGCTAGCACAATTTCCAGGACTGTGGTTGTCACTCATACTGTTGTCAATATTTCTCTTATAATTGTCCTGCAGCCTATTTTCTTTCCAGGACCTGAAAAGCCGAAAGGCCCTGTCATACTGATATGCTTCAACACAAGCATGAAGGACAGAGTTGCAACATTTTGCACTAGGTTTACAACCAGCCTGAAGCATCTCCTTGAACAACTGAATTGCTTGGTCTACAAGGCCTGAATTAGCACATGCACTGATCAATGATGACCATGTAATAACATTTGGAGTAACACCGGCTGATATCATGTCTTGTTTGATTTCGAGAGCCATTTGCCACATTTTTGCGTCTGCAAAGACCTAAAAAATTTAGCAGAGGATTTAAGAATTAATCTGAGAATGACATTTGCATATGACAACATATAGTAACGTATGATCCGTATGGGAAAAGAATCTACAAGCCAATCCAAGCATCTGATAACAGAAAACTGAGCTTATTTTACATGGACGGATTAGCATGAGAGCAAGACACATTTTATACACATAATTCATCCGTCCCTAGAAAAAAAGAGTCATGTATCTAAAGTCTAAACTTATTTGTCCCAAAAAAAAAGAATATATTTGAACAAATGAAGCTAATTTACATTATCTTTGATGTTTTTACAAACAAAAAAAAGTGTTTCAACAAACAAGTTGAGTTTGTTAAATTTAGTTAAGCCAACGAATATATATAAAAGGTTGTTGCTAAATCCACATCTCATTCGGCTATATCCACCCCATTTATATCAAATAGACAAGTTTATCTTTAAATGTTTAAAAAAAGGTGAGAGAGCAAAGTTGTCCATTTCCTATAAATGGATTGAATTCAGCCAAATGGGGTGTGTATTTAGCACTATCAAATAAAAAATGTAGTTGTATTTGATAATTTCTAATAGTTGTATGTTACTAAATTTCAAAGGATGTACATTCGTGAAACAAGACTCAAGGACAAAAACAGTGAAAAAGCAATGTCCACTGTGTCATATAATGCAAGTGTACTATATATATCCACTTGCTTTTAATCCATGGATACGCCTATGCATCTGCATTGAGGTCTGTAAAAGAAAGAATCCACCCAGGTACATTGAGATCTAAATCTTGAACATGGTTTCTTGATGCATTTGGACTCTATATACAATACCTACACAATAGCTACGGCCTCTATATACAATAGCTACAGACAATTATACCTTAATTAAGGTGCTGTACGTGAAGACATCTAATTTCAATGCTCCCGTCAATTCCAAAGATTTCACGTCCTTGTAAATGTTTTTGGCTAGATCAACTCTTCCAGCAAGACAGCACGACTTTAGAAGGATGTTATAGGATGTCATATCAGCTGTAATGCATAACTCCTGGGTACATGAAAAAATTGAATAAATGATTCCATTATATCCATGAATAAAAAAACAAATGGAAAGGCAAGACCACATCTTCTATTGAGCTACTGAAGCCTGCACTTCACTCTATAAGACCAGAAGATATGCTTCACGTATGCAATTCATTAATGTACGTCTGTACGGGAGCACTTGCATTGGAGAGAATTTGGGAATGCAAACAAGGGAATACCAAGAACTTGCCTTCATTTTCCTGTACTGAGACAACGTGTAGCTCAAATCACAAGCATTTACATTCATGAGGCTGTTGAAAACATACGTATTTGGGGTTGCGCCTTGAGAAATTAACTCCTGCAGTGACATCATATATAGTTAAAGCATAAATCCATGGAGGAACAAGTTCTATGTATTGAAAGATGTACTCCCTCTCTCCCAATTTATGTTGCATGTTTTCATTTTTAGTCTGTCAACTTATCTTGCATATCTCCATTTGTAGAGAGGATTGTACTGTTCATACTGTTTATCTCTCCTTTGCAGAAATCTTAACCACACAGTGTTCTCTCTTGATTGGGAAAGGGGAGTATTTCCTAATAGCCTTCAAGCCCTAATCCATCTAATTGAGAAAATATATTGAAAACAGAATAATTCAAAATAATTGCTTCAATGTTATGAACTGGTTCTGTAGATGAGGAGGTGACGGGCAGATGTATATTGCTAGGAAAATCACGGGTTCGACTCAGCCAATGGCGACATGGTGTCTTACCCTTACTTACTTGAGATTAAGGTTTTGTTGTTGTTGAATTGTGATAGAATTTAGAATGGGGTAGGGTTAACTGGATTAGACAATAAGACACTTGGGTCGAACCACATTAAAAGATTGAATCCAATCGATTACTTAATTCAACTCAAGAGCTTATATACCCATTTGCTTCAATGCTACGAGATTGTAAAGTTGTTATACTGTTTGCAGTTTAAGACAAAAGAGAAACATGGATATCTGCAATGATATTACCCTAGAACCAAAACTATGCAATGAAATGTCTGTCGAAAACATTAACAAGTCTTAGATGTGATTTGCAGGATTAGTACCTTGTATATGGCTCTAGACTTTAAGAAGTCACCACAAAGACCACAAGCATCTATAATTGCCCGGTATGCAAACATATTAGGAGAATTCAACCCCTGTTTTGATGCTTCGAACACAGTGAGAGCAGATTCCAAGTTACCTTTCTTCCCAAATTCAAGAATTATGGTGCATAACAGAATTTGTGCATGTGAAAAAATACGTGCATACCTGTCAATATTAGTGTTTAAGGAATTAATCCCAAGCATTAAGTAAGAAATAACAGATGTCATATTATCATCAGAACCCCTTCATGGGTGGAGCTAGGGATGGTCCATACTGGGGCCCCACCATGAATCTAGTCTATTTTATCAAGTATCTATATTTTCATTACTTACGCACAATGCAAAATTGTGTGAGAAATTAGTTAAAGCGAGATTTGGCCACCTAAATCTTATCCAATTACTCCATTAATGTTACAAGTACCTATTATTAAAAAATGAATTCCAAGTTAGTTGAAACAAAGAGATTAACTCAATTGCATTTGGAAAAAATAAAATTTTTATATTTCCAAAACAAATGTTTGGTAAGTCTTTTCCATATGAAAATTTATGCAGATGCATTGCATTCACTCTTTAGCATTGCACAACACAGTAAGATGTGGTGGCTAAGCCAGTGCATCTCTTCAAACTCTATACCCTAAGAACACGCTCTTGACTACTGAGAAATTTTGATATCACCAGGAGAGGTACAAATAATCCCAAAAGAGAAGGAAACAAGAAAAAGAAAGAAAGATAGATAGAGAAAAAAGAATACCCACAAGAAGATCATGTGGTCTTAGTTTCTCAATCTAACATGTTACTTTTAAGGAACTTCTACAGCAGTTGATCAATTCCACTATTTCAAACGTAGTGGTTCCTAATACCTGATGGCAGCACCTGGGTCTAATTTTCTTACACAAAGCCTTATGATTTTTGAGGGCTCCGCGAATTCTTTAATTGGCAAACCATACCCTGGAACAGGGGAACTATCGAACATATGAGATACAATCGTCTTCCCAAATTAGAACTACAAAATAAGAGAAATCACAATGTAAAAACAGCGAGCAGCTTACCTTGGAGTGTTTCCATCAAAGTAACAAATTCTTCTACCTGTCCGTGTTCCACAATTCGCTGACACTCCTTCCGAAGGGCGTCACTAGCAGCATCAACTAGCAGCAGGCGAGGATCAATTTGCAGCTTCTGAACACTGCCAAGCAGCTCAACAACACTCCCTACGCTCCCTTCTTCGATCCTTCGCGCAATTCCAGTAGAAATTTGTTTCACATTCAGGAGCCGGACAAAATCCGCAGCTTCCATTGCGGAGGAGGCGACGTTTTCCACCATTGTCAAGAAATCCTGGAACTTCCCGTCCTGGGCGAGGTTAGAAGCAATGTCTGCGTAGAGATTGAGGTTAGATAGGTGGCTGGAGGAGATGAATTCCAATTCCGCAGCGGATGTGAGCGGTCGATGAGGAGGAGGAGGAGCCACCGAGACGCCCGGGCTGAAATTAGAGCGAGAGTTGTAAGAAGTCGGCTTGTTGCTAGGCTCTAGTTTAGGAGCCGGTTTTGCGGCGGCGGCGGCGGAAGATCGGTGGTTGAGGTGGCGACAAGGAGCCGGAGAAGTGCGAGCTGAGTTGCGCTGGAGCGAAACGGATGAAGATGGAAGGGCGAGTAGAGCTTCCATCATTCTCGGCCAACCGTTTCTGCCTCTGGTCAGAAAAGTTTGTAGGATACTAGGATATTGTAATTTTTGAGAGTGTACCTTTACAATAAAGAAGACTCCCATTCATAAGCATTTGACATTTGGCATGTATATTTGGCAAATTTTTAACATGTCAGCGCCATGTAATCCTTTACTATCATATTTTTTACTCATGTCTCCAAGAAATTGACATGTGTCATCTTACATGGCAATTTTTAAATGACATGGTACATGAATAAATTACATGACATGCTTTAAATTCTCATTCATCATTTATTGAAATTTATTTATGATGATCGTTAAAATATGATGATTTTAAAACAATATATATTATATTGAAAAAAATATGGATATTTTAATTTATTAAAAATTATGTAAATGAAATAATTGTAATTTTTCAACAAAAAATAAATAAATTAATAATAAAAAAGAAACTAATCATTATTAGCCGGGTCTTTTTTCATAAAAATAAAAATCATATTAAAAGTCATTTGAGTAAAATATAGTTTTTAAAAAATTATTAATTTATTCTTTTGTATGAAAATATATTGAGCTTAAACATACTCTCGAGTAGCTCATCTTATACCACTAATTAAATATGAGAAATTTATTAAATAAATTTAGTGCATTATGAGTTTATGTATATTAGATAATTTTTAATATGAAAAGTTTGTGGTTTAATGTATTCAATAACTTTTTTAATAATTAAAATTTCCTTAAATATATAATAGGGAGTATGAAAATATATCAAGATTTAAATTTTGTTTGAGATATTTATATATTTACATCACAATATTGATAGTTTTTAAAAGTATTTATTTATGATAGAGACGTTGTTTATAAATGATAAAACTTTTGTTTTTAAATGAAAGCATTTTTATAAAGGAAATATAAATTTTAAAAAAAATGTTTTCATCCTATTTATTAATAGGACTTTTTGAGCCTTTTTTTTCTTTATTGGAACATAATTTTCATAGAGAAAATATATAACAGTAAAAATAGATCATTGAAAAAATATAATCATGATATTCAGATTTAAGTATCGAATGACAACATATATTTTTGAATAAAATATATTAAAGTAGTTTCAGCGCTCTAAATGGTTTGAAAAAGATATGAATACCTTATTTATGTTCAAAACTTATTTTAAAAACAATGCCTATCATTTAAAAAGGTTACACACGCACCACATCGGTTCGTGCTATTTTACGTTCATTTTTGTTAAAATAGGGCATTGATACGCATTCCAATCAACATGAGCTGATGAGCGTCAATTCATATTATCATTTTTTAGCTTTTTTCATATATAATTATTCTTTATAATGTTTTAAAATTCAAATTGGGTTATATTTGAAATAAAAATCAAAATTAAAAAAGCATATACTTTCCTCATCTAAAGTTAAACATTTTTGTTTTTATAAATTTGGATGAAAAGTATTACTCCCTCCGTTCTACTCCGTATAAAAGTGTTCTTATTTTGACTTTGTGTAAAAATAAGAAAGTGTTAAATTGTAGTTGACTTCCAATTTTGCTCTTGATATGATGGATTGAGTATTAGAGAAAAAGTATGATTTGATAGGTAGAGTATGAAAAAGTAAGGGTAAAAGTGTTTTTAATAGAAAGTCGAAGTGTTTTGTTGGAAGTAAAAAAATGAAAAAAGAAGAGTTTTTGAGAACGGGGGAGTATTGTTTATCTGCATATGCATTTGCATGAAAAAAAATATTAATTTCGTAAAATAGTAATACACAGAGATTCTACATCCACTCACTTTAGGTGGTTCTAGATAACACTATCTTTACGGTGCACCGTTTACAATATTAATGGTTCCTACCCTCGACACCCGGGTAAATCCCCACCTTAGAACAAGTGGCTCCAGAATCGTTTCGATAATAGTAGTCGTAATAATAATAATAATAATAATAATAATAATAATAATAATAATAATAATAATAATAATAATAATAATAATAATAATAATACAAAATATGCATGCAAATAATTTTTTAAACACTATTGAAGAGAGAAAACTAGATAAGACCGTTGAAGAGAGAAAACTATCAGAAGAAGCTAGATAAAACTAAAAGAGTGGAAAAAGCATAATGACTTTTCCTAAATAGCAACATATATTTTTTTATTTTCCGATGTAGCACTTTTAGTCATTATTCATTAGTCATTATTAAAATAAATATTCACCATCATAGAATATTATTTTCCTTCTAGACATTATTAAGTGTTATTTAAGAGAGAAAATTTAAGTCTTATATTGAGAAATGACTTATGTTTTAATTCTATTTAGTGCAGATATTTCTCATACTTATTGTTTCTAAATTGCATTTCACATAAAAAAAAACATTTGGTGAAAATATATTTTCATTAAAAAAAATTAATTCACGATGATGAGATTAAACTTAAATATATTCATTAAAAGCAAACACTCAATATATACCTTTAAAAAGGAAAATCTTTGTATTGCTATGTGGTGATGTTTTTTGTGAATAGTAGGATAAAATAGATTGATCATATCTATAGTCAACACCTTAAAATTAATCTAAATTTAACATCAATTTAGACTTGGTTAAGAATACCTTATAATATATGTTATGTGGTGATGTTTTATGTGAATAAAGGAAAAAAATTTATGATCTGTATTTACAATTCTTTATGATGGTATTACTGATACAGATGGAGAGGCATCGTCGTCAGGTGCAACACCGCACTGTCAAACACACACAAGAAGGAATGCACTTTGCGATGTGACAAATGAATGGTATTTATAAATTTCGAATAAAAAAATTTAATTAATCCATTTTTAAATTTGTGGAAGGGTTACTTATGAAGTAAAATGTCACAAAATGTAATTTTAACAACTTTAAAATTTTAAATTTGTACACCCATCTCAGCACATTTCTATGTGCAAAAGAGACAAAGAAATACTTGAAATGATAAATGAATTTGTCTTGTCCCTCATTCCTGGTGATGAAAAGGAATACTAGAATTCTGATTCTTTGTGCCAACTAGATGTAGATGTATGTATTGATGGAGATTGGATAACTGTTGAGTTCTTGAATGAAATCAAATGATCGAGAATTCCAAACCACAAAATAGTTTTGAAAAAGAGGTACCGATTATGCTATTGATCTAGGAACATTGACCAAACATCTGGATTGTGTAATAAGACAAGATTAATCATTCAAGAGATGCGAAATAATGTTATCGGTGCAATTGTGGTTTCTGGAAATCGAGTCGGGGAAAAGGTTTAAATCCCTAGAATGAATTTGGTACCATCTGATCCAGGACTACCAGGACTACCCTTGAAGTTCCAAAGAAGATAATTCTCGATTGCCTTATGTTTGATATGACTATCAATAAAAGTTAAGGTCAAACATTGTAATTTTTGGGATTATTTTTAACCAAGTTGGTGTTCACACATGGTCAACTTTATGTTGCTATTTCACAAGTGAAGACAAAGACATGATCAAATATATTGGTTCTAGATAACAATAGAAACCCTTGCAACCATACTAAAAATGTTGTATACCCTATTTTTTAGAAAATTTGGTATTAAAATAAACATGGTTAGTATTAAGTTTACTTTGGCATTTTCATCTACAGTATTAAAAATTATGTGAGAAATACATTGTAACGCCCCGAAATCTGGCCCAAAAGAATTAATTAAATTGTTAAAGCAATTGGTTACGAATTGGGCCCAAAAAGGGGTTAAAATTATAATTTGGATTTTAAGCCCAACTTTTATGTCATCTCGTAGGAAATATTTTTGTGATCGCGTCGGTTCAGACGGCTCGCGAATCAGAGTTATGGAGCTCATGTTATGACCATTTAATCAGGTATTTTAGGTCCGAAGCCCGGTCCTTTTTGGAATGGGACCATTAAATAAACCTAAACTAAGTTCAGCCGTAGAAACATTATCCTTCTTCGTCCGTTCTCCTTTTTTCTCTTCTTCTTCTTCTTCTTCTTCTTCGCCGATCGATCGCCGCCGGAAGTTCCCCAGCCGGTCGTTCGCCGTCCAATTGGAGCCGCCGTCGCCTTCCCCAGCCTCGCCGCCATCATCGCCGCAGCCAATCGCCTTCCCCAGCCTCGCCGCCATCATCGCCGATTGGTGCAGCGCCGCCGTGAGCCAGCCGCCGGTCGTCGCCGTCCAACTGGAGCAGCCAGCCGCCGGCGTCGCCGCTCATTGCCGTCGTCGATTGCAGCGCCGCCGAGTTGCAGCGCCGCCGCTGTTTCCTTCGCCAGTAGCCGCCGCTCAGCGTCGCCGAGTCTCCAGCCGCCGTCGCCGAGCTTCCAGCTGCTGCTTCGCCTTCGCCGGAAACGAGCGCCGCCGTCGCCCTTTGCACAGCGGCCATCCGCTGCCGTCGAGTGCAGCGCCGCCGTCGATTGCAGCACCGCCAGTCGCTGCTCATCGCCGTCGAACTGCCGCTCCGCCACTGTCGCCGGTGTCCGTCACCGTCGCCGCATCCGGCCGCTGCCCCGAGTTGATATCGCTGGCAGATTAACCTCCACGCCGGATTGATTGGTCGATTTCGTATTTTGACTCGATTTGACCCGTTCGGTTGATTTCATTGATTTGTCTTCCGTTCGAGCTATCGATTAGATTTCGGCGTAATCCAGGTCCGTACTATGAAGTTAATAACATTCAGAATAGATTTAATGGTTTGGATCGTTATATGTGTTTATGCTATAATTTGGCTAAATTGGTTAATTGAATTAAATTGATTGTTTGAATTGAATTGTTGAGGATTGTGAATTGACTGAACAGGTTTGACTTTGACTTGGGTTAGGTCATGTTTGACCTAGGCTTTGACTGGATATTCTGTTGTCGTAGGTTTGACCGGATGGTTAAATCCAAGACTTTAATGAATTAGTTAAGTTAATTAATTAATTCTAATCGGTGATTAAGGTCAATTGGTTTATTGTGTTGAACATAGAAACTGGCCATT